GTCCCAGCTTTCTAGACGAACCTCGCGAGGAAACGCTTGCTACGCAGGCTAGCTTTATTATGAAAATCAAGTTGCCCTTATGCTAACTAGTGTTTTTCAAGGACAATTTCCATGACAAAGCAAAGGAGGTTTGTATCAAAACAAAGTCAACCTCAGCCTCACATCCACTGGAAGGCTAGTATAGGGTACTAAGTCCACGTCTGTAAAATGGTCTATTAAATAACATGGTCATCAAAATAAAGCAAATTATCACTAACTGATGAAATGTCGTGACTTAGTGCCAATTTATGAAGTTACCCGTGTGGGGTGCGAATGTTAGGGGCTCTTTACATGACACCGGAATGACTTTCTGAGACAGAAGCAGATATGCTGCTGGTTTACGTAATACGAGAATGATACCGTAAAATTCCCAAAATAAGTCCCGGGGCTTATTTTTTTCAAAGGCCCTTTTTGAGGGGCTTATTTTGGGAGGGGCTTATATTCGGAGGGGCTTATATATGGAGGGAAGATTGCGTTTCAAAATCGGCTAGGCTTATACTTGGAGGGAAATTTGCGTCTCAAAATCGATTAGGCTAGCTTATAGTTGAAAGGAAATTTATGTCAGTAATTTGCAGAACGTTTTTATTGAAACTCGCCTTGAGGACGTAGACCTTCGTAAAACGCAGCCATGCAAGTACTTTGTCTAAAAACCGAGGAAATCCAAGCCAAGAGTGAAGAGTGAACTACGCAAACAGCAAACTGTGACACTTTCTGACTGCAATCATTTGGCACACGTAATAGTTGTTTGGCAAATACAAAAATTATATGTTACTGTACCGTTTTTGCTTTGTTTTATTTTTTCGTATATTTCAGGGCAATTTCCAAGTACAAGCCCCTGGGGGCTTATATTCGGAGGGGCGATATAACGGACGGGTTTTTGCGTTACGAGTTTGGGGGGCTTATATTTGGAGGGGCTTTTATTTGAAAATATGTGTTACTAGTTATTCTAGATAGATGGTAAGTGATTTTTTAAAGGTTGTTTGCGCTAATGGTCGCGCAAAAACCGTTTTTGAAGTAACAACTTTAAGAAATCGCTTCTCTTACGGTGCATGTTATTTGTAGTCGACTTTGTCTTGTTAGGAGGAACTAACTCAGTTCTGGTAATTTGAGTTCATTTAGGGATTAATACGGTATTCCGTTTTCGTAAAATATTACCTCGTATTGAAACAGTAAATGCTTTTTGCACCGCATCATTTACATCGCGATACACGTTTCGCGCGACAATCTCGCTTATCAGTAATTCCATATTAGGAAGTAAATTTTGATTGGTTCCCTAGAAAACCCGAGCTTTGCGAGAGAGTTACACGCTTCGGGGTTATATGCTTCTATTTCCAATCATCACTTTCTCTGTGAACAGCTAAAAATATGGCGAACTAAATAAAACTACACAGGTGCAAATTTTCATTTCATGGCAAATTATGCGACCGTAAAAAACCGTGAAAGCGACCAAATTTCTGAGCGCTACCAAAGAGGAAACTTTAAAAAGCAAGGTCCAGTCGTTACAAATGTGTTTAACACTGTCCACTGGATAAATCTCTATCGAGCCTAAAATACTGATATTATCCACTGGATATAGATTTTATTATCCCATGGATAGCTGTATCTACGGGGCGGGGGGGGGGGGGGGGCGTGGAAAATCGTATAAAAAGGGTGGTTTGCTGGCGTGCAACGCAAAAGAATAAAAAGAATATACATTTTGAAAAAAATAAAACCCAAAGTCAAAAGGAGAGTTCAAGTCAGACGAAAACGAAATGACCCGAAGAAAAAAAAGGAACAATTTTTTTTACTCC